GAAAAAAAAAAAGATCCAGTTTAGCTATTTTTCGACTTTAGGTAGTTTGACCTAAATGTTAGGTTTCTGTTTTCAATGTCCAATTCATTATTTACTAGATTAACGTCTTCGAGGACTGCTTGTCTAATACAATTTTTTTTTTTTTTTTTTTAGTACTTCCATCTTCACTCTGACGGCTATTTTTTATTTTATTTTATATAAAGCTAGTTTGATAATGTACCTGTATGTACTGGACATGGAGATTTATTTCATTACATCTGCAATTCGTCCAAATTTGGGCCAGTCAGTTGATAGTATGTAGCCGAATCGCAAACCAAGCGATTTGCGCAATGAACAAACATGTTCACGTTTGAGTTGTGATTCACAATTCCGTCTGTTGCCCCTAAAAGAGAGCTGATTGATGGGAAAAAAGATGACTTGGAGCTAGTTTACAGTCACTAAATGCTGATTTGTTCTCAGTTCAAATGAGAAGTTACCAAAAGTGAGAAAAAGTAGAAACAGTAAAAAAATAAAATAAAATAAACTATACTTATATTAAATAAATATATAAATGTAGAATGTTTACTTCTTTAACTCTTTTTCCCGTCTATTGGAAACCTTTCATCATTTATTTGTGTACCAAATTGATATATTTATATTTATTTATATATACAAAATAATTATGGAAAAAAAATATTCTACTTTGCTGATATTTGCCTTTTTGCTTTCCTTTTGCTGAATATATACGATTAAATGGAAAATGGGAGCAGTCGTAGGTCTTTACAATCCAACGGTTTTATTATTTAAATCCGTGAAATGTTACATGTGAAATCAACGTTTCCGCTCCACCTAGGCCTGGGTCAAGATCATCTATATATACCTATCTATATCTAAATTGGCCCATTTTGGTTCATCTGATTTGCTTTCCTGAATCTTTTTCTCTTTAGCGAAATTCAGACAAGCTAATTTGCCATATGACTGAAATATGGCCATCCAGAAAAATTTTTACATTTTGGATGAAGTGGTTTGGCTAAAGCACTTTTTTTTTTTAGCATTTTATCCATTGATATATTCTTATATTAGGGTTCACTTGCCTATCATGACGAACTGGCAAAGGTAAAAACTGCCAAATTTGGACCAAAATAGCCGAATGAAAAAATTTCTCAGAATAATGTAATTTTCCAGCTCAGCCGTATAAACGTAAAATTTGCTGCATCCTGAAAATTCTCCACAATCTCTGGTTTGTAAATGAACCCTTATTTCTCGGAACATCTGTTATCTGTCACCTGTATTTTCCTGTATCAATTTGTCTAACGTGCAATATCTATCTTGGTCTCTCTATGTCTCGCCTGTATTACACACCCGGCTGGAAGATTAATTTACTGCTTTGAAACAACATTGGCCCTAGGGAGACGTGCAACAGACACAATGTTTGGAGAGTGCGGACAGAAGAGCACGTCTCGTGTCCCCTGACATCCCATGAGCTACTTTAGATTATATATAAAGGAGAAGATGACGGAGGGACGACGCTGGCTGTACATAAAAAAAAACAAAAAAACCATGGATTGGACAGTAATTACCAATTCTCTTACTATCTGAAACATTGATACTAATATATTCTTCACTGCAATGTGTGTCACACTCACTGTTTTAACTGCAGCGCTGTAACAGGGACATAGTACACAACACAATGTTTAATAGAATCTTCACAGTGTCAGAGAGCATGCGTAACCAATAGACTTGGAGATTTGTTCCATTACGAACTGTGATTCCTACAAACTTGGAAAGTTCGAGTGATCGTACGAATTGCCGAAATCCAAGCTGAAATGTAGCCGAATCACGATAACAGAGGTGATTGATGGGAAAAAAAGATGATTGATATTTAGGAGACAGACACCAAATGTAGATTTTATTTGCAGATCAAGGGAGAAGTGACCAATAGAGGGAAAAAAGAAAGCGCAGTAAAAATATAGATAGTTATATATTTATATATTTAGTATAAAAATAAATATATATATTTTTTTACCTTATATCCATGTACTCTGAATATCGACATAATGTTATTATGCATACATATTGCAGAATTTTCTTTGTTCCCTTTTGGTGTTCTGATTCGTTTTCCCGAATCTTTTTCCATTAATGTAATTCAGGTGAACTGAACCACCACATGGCCTGGCAGGTGCAAGGATTTTTGGCTTAAATGGTGAAGATGCATTTTGCCCCCCCTCCAAAAATGCATATTCACCTGTGTGTCTTTTAACACCCCATTATCCTTCTTTTGAATGTCTTACTCCCTTTAGTGTATCTTATCTCCCTTTTGTGTCTTACACCCTTTTTAGCATATATTATTCCCCCTCTTTGTGTCTCACAACTCCCTGGTGGGTATCTTACTCCCCCCCTTAGTGTGTCTTTTACTCCCCCCAGCCCCTTTGTGAGTTTGTTACTTCTGCCCAGCTCCTTTGTGTGTCTGTTTCCCTCCAAGCCCCTTTGTGTGTCTATTTCCCCCGGCCCCCTTGTGTGTCTTCTACTTCCCCCCAACTTCTTTGGGTATCTCATTCTCTCCCCCAGCCCCTATGTGTGTCTATTTCTAAAACCCAGCCACTTATCCAACCCCCCTTGCTTGCCTCCTCATGCAACATGCCTCCTGTTATTGCGAATCATGATAGAGAGTCATCTTTATCCTCTAACTGGTCTGAAAGGAAGCTGCTCATTGCTTCCAGTGAGCAGCTTCCTGTCAGGTTAAGAAGATTGTCTACTGTGGTTCACGAGGCCACACTACATGGAGTATATGGCCGTAGGTGGAGTACTGTTTGCACCATTCTGCCGGTCACCTGTGTTGTATAATTCTTCTCTCACCACCAATACTTCCAGTTGGTATCCTTTTGAGAGAAATCCACTCTGTGTGGTGTTTTAATAGTGAATGTAATATCCCTGTGTCACCTCTTCCAAGAACTAACATATACCTTTATCCCCTTGTCCAGATAAATATATGACTAGCACTACTAAGGTATTCTACCCGATATTACAAATAAACAGCCAACACCATAGTTCTTACCAGAGAGAAATCTTTACTTAGAACCTGCCCAGTTAAATATTACAGAAGAAGAATAGTACAGAGTTATAGTTAAAATACATTCATAGCACTCAGACATTCCATCTATCTAATAATATCTGCTACATTGTGTATGTGCTGTGAGATGTTATGTACAGCAAGTGTCTTACCAACCTAGTCTGATGTCAGTATCTTCTATTTTAAAAGGAATTGGTTCCCATGTTGTAAATAGCCAATTTCTCAGCTCAGTTGATATGTAAATGTGATTTCCATTCCCAAGGCCCAAAGTGTTGTCTATCCTGTTATTTTATTTCACTGTGAACTCTCCCAGCCATCCCCTTGCCTCTAACCTAAGCTGTGACTGTTTTCCTAGATAGAGACTCCTTTGAAGACTAGTTGATATGTAAATGTGATAAACTTGGCGGTGCCGTTCAGGTGCTGTATCTTTCCAAATATCTAAACAGAAACCCCATTTTGAAGATAATACCTGATCTCCCATACACACAGACTTAATCAAGCACATATTAAACAGATATATACATAATCATAATATTTTACCCAACAACCTGGACATTGTGCCATGCAGGATGGTGCTAACTAAGGCTGCCACGTGTGCCGTCTTATGTTATAGGCCCTTATTCTGCTGTCCAGAAATTTTTGTATTTTCGGGTGAAGTCGTTCATCCAAAACTATTTTTATTTTTTTGCTGTGCACAAGTCTTGCAGTCATCTCCTAATAATTATATATATCTTCCAACGGGGGTGGTCTGAGACAGAACATTTTACTGGTTGCATTTGGGGCCTTACATGCCCAGCACAGCTAACCTGCCAACACAGACACTAACCTCCCCCATAGTGTTGCTGCTGGTTGGCCATGATGGAACTAAATCGGCCATTGCTGCTTACTGTCTTCCGAGTAAAAAGTAATTCTGAGAAAATATATATATTTTTTTCCACTTTAACTAAAAACTGAGCAGAAAGTGTTGTAGCTTTAATGTTATCGGACAATATTTCTATTTTATACTGGGAGCTGCATAGAATCCACTTTATTTGCATCCGGTATGTCTCGTTACTCAGTGATTCCTTAAAGAAACCTTTGTAAACCCAGCTAAAAAAACAGGAAAATGAACTCACACGTGACCTTTAAAACTGCGTTTTTGTTGCCTGATTTTTGTTACCACCAGCAGTATATGTCAGAACCAGTTCCACAAATTTTAGTCTTTTTTTCCAGCCCACAACGGCTGTTTTTTTCTTTGATCTACGCTAAAATAAAGACATTTTGGGTGAAAGAGACATTCTTGGACCAAGCAGAGCTGGGTTTGCACGTCTCAAAATCCTTTTGGCCAAAAACTATATCTGACGGATTAATTCCATTATAATTTTTTCAGTGTCTCAATCAGGCTTTTAACCGCTTCACTCTCAATAACGTGTATGCACGGCCAGCAAAAGTATGGCTTCATACCACAACCACTTGCATATGTGTTCAAAATAAATTCATATTATTTTCTGGTCTTTAACCCATTTTAACCGTTCATTTAAGAAAGCTCAACAAGGATATTGTTGTTTTGCCACTATGTAATATGATATTTATGTATACGGAGATTAAAATACATAGATACACCTCCCAGCGTGGCTTATAAAAATAATCTAGTGCTATTCCAGGGAGTTCAGACACGGAAATCGGGACATTAATCTCTGTATTGATCAATGTCTGGATTTTGAGTAATAGCTGCTGAATAAACTTGAAGGCAGTACAGATTATCCGCCAGTCCAATACAACTTAATGGCTGAAACCCAGAATTGGATGATAGTAACTTAACTCAAATCCCATAATCCATAATAATTCATCAAAATCAAGATATGTATAATTAAAAAAATTTTTTTTTTTAGATATTGTGTATTAATCTAACATTTTATATCGTATTTGTTTGTGAAAATTGCTGATTTTAAAAGTTTACTTTAAGCATCATAACCAGTACAGCCTGCCGTTTAACAACTGTTTGCCCTCTTACCTGGGTTCCCAGTGGGCTCTGATGCCGCCTGCTGGCTTGGTGTTGCACTTCAGGCTTATGCAGAGCTACAGAACGCAGAGGGCGATGCCATTGCCATTCATTGTCTGAGTGTCAGCTGACCTCTTTTAGCCAATGAATGACATTCTGTGCAATTAATTTTGCACAAAATTGACATTAGCCAGGCTGGCTGATGACACCCCATGGGGAAGTTACACTTCCAGCAGCAAAGGGGTTAAATTCCATACGAGCAGTATTTCTGTATAAACCGCTTCGCCTAGAGACTCCAGGCACTATGACCACTTCAAATCATTAAAAAGGTCATGGTGCTTGGGGTAATCTTTTCAAATCAAGCATCGTCTGGCGCTGCATTTTGTGGTTAGTAAATATAAGAAATGTAACCCGAATTTGCTTATCTTGACCAAATCCGGCACTTATGGAATAACCCCTTAATATTTTAATAGATTACTTGAAACATAACTCACATAAAAAATGTCTTTCACAATTAAAAAAACTGATATATCCTAAGGTACCACATTATCACACTTTAATATCCCGAAGACCACCTTGGCTGGTCACCGGACTACGTCCAGGGCCGGACTGGCCCACCGGGATACCGGGAAATTTCCCGGTGGGCCGGCACACTAGGGGGCCGGTGCGCGGCCGCCTAGTGTGCACCAGCCCGGGCTGCAATTACAGGGTGACCGGCAGGAGGGGATACGCTCCCCTCCTGCCAGTCACAGAATGTAGCGTGGCCTAGCAGACAGACCGCGGTAGGGAAGCTTCTGTTCCCCTACCCGGTCTGACAGGAAGCAGGAAGCGAGAACGCTCCTCCCGCGAGCAGGCAGGTTGGAGCGTTGCCGTGCGTTACCATGGCAACGCTCCGACCTGCCTGCTGCTCTCGCGGGAGGAGAGCGAAGTCAGCCTGCAGCCAGAGGAGCTGCAGGCTGAACAGCACGTGCCACCACTGGACCACCAGGGATCGAAGAGTAGCCGTCCCCCCTCTCCCCTGACCAAAGGTAAGGTGGGAGAGGGGTAAAATGCCCATACACACACTACTCCCCCCCCACCAACAGCACCCTCCCCCCCAACCCCACCAACAGCACCCCTCCCCCAGCAGCACCCCTCCCCACCAACAGCACCCACCCCCCAGCCCCACCAACAGCACCCTCCCCCCCAGCACCCCCCCCCCCACCAACAGCACCCTTCTCCCCACCAACAGAACCCCTCCACGCACACAGAACCCCTCCACGCACACAGAACCCCATCCAAGCACACAGAGCCCCTCCACGCTCACAGAGCCCCTCCACGCTCACAGAACCTCTCCACGCACACAGAAGCGTTTTTTTCCCGCTTTTTCCCGCTTCCATATCTGCATTACGGGGCTGGTATGGAATTTTTTTCCAGGGCTGCTTTTCATTCCCAGTCCGGCCCTGACTACGTCTAAGACCTGCTCTAGAGGGCTGGGATAGTTCCACTGACTTTTGGTGCACATTCAACAGAACCGTGTAATGCCCACATCTAAAGGTACTGGAAATATATGAGTCCTAAAAACTACAAGTAAATTGCCAGACAATTAACAAGTCGAGAAATAAGAGGTGAGCATGGCAGTGACAGCACAGCTAACAGAGCAAGCTTGTAACTATTAGCGAGTCATCGTCTCGATCTGCATAGCTGTGTCTCTGGTTTGTTCTATGTAAATCATGTCACACATAAAAGAGAAGACACTTGGAGAATAGCTTCAGTATCAGTCAATTAATTGCCGGCGGACTCAAGGGAATACAACAGAGCCACTTAATAAAGGATCCAAGATGAAGAACAGCCGCAAAGACGCAACATATGTCAGGGGGGCTTGTGTGTGAATTCAGAAATTGGGAAATAAAGATATTTCATTAGCTACAAAGGGACACAAGGGCTACAGTATAAAGATCCCTTCTGCAGCAAAGTTCTAAAAACGCAACAATCATCACGAAAACAGTGGAATGTTCCTGCTGATTAATCCTTGTTGGAACTTTTACCCACAAAATAACCCTTTAAAATTTTATTTTAATGTGATAATCTTTTCATCCAGTTTTACAACGTTGATATAAATAAATAATGAGAAAAACTCATCCCTACCTTTGGTATACGACAGCATCCTTCAGCCATATACGTGCACCTTTGGTCGGACAATGTTTGAAAACAGACAGTTAGTCTCTATGGTTTTCCCTGTTTCTGTGCAGAGAGTGAAGCAGGAAATACCATAGAGACTAACTCTCAGTTTTCAAACACTGTCTGACCCAAGGTGCATGTATATGGCCGAAGGATCCTGTTGTATACCAAAGGCAGGGCTGACTAGTTCTTTTTTTTTTTTTTTTTTTACATATACTTCATTTAAAAAAATTTATTTCTCTTTCGATGCTTGATGAAAGGAGTATTACATTTAAAAAAAATATTTTTGAGGTGACAGTTGTCCTTTAATGCATAACACCTACAAAGTTATTCACTAAAGTAAAAATTCTAAATTAATTTCAAACTTAAGGAAAAGAAGGCAACCGAGTTTGAAATGCTTTCATTTTGTCTGCTTGGGCTTAAATTGTGAAATTCAGTATGAAATCACTTAGAATTCTCACTTTATTAAATAACCTTATAAACAGTCACAATTAGACCGCAAAGCAATCAATGAGTGATAAACAGGGAGGAAAATAGATATCCTGTTAGCTACGTACACGTGAGAATTGTACCAAATTAAACCCAAATTACAAAACATAGGCATAGTTGGCCTATAGCTGAGAATTATTTATGATCAACTGTTTCTACATTTTTATTTTTACGGTAATTTCTTTTATGTTTTTTGGGAACAAAGAAAGAAGATTGAAGAAATCAATCAAGACCTCACATAGGAAGTACTAAATTATTTTCTGAATTTTTTAAAATTCTTTTTATTAATAGTGTGAAGGTAGGTTGTAACATAGCTTATCAGGGTGCCTAGGCCCTCTAGGGTGGGGTATTTTAAGGGCTCTAAACTCTAGCTGGAACCTTTACTAACTGGAGTTGTTGCAAAGTTACACCAGTTAGAAAATAGCAATTTTGCAGTAACTTTGCTGCAACGCCAAACCACAAACCATCCAGTAATTCAAACCCAGTGAATGCCAAAAAAATACATTTGTCATACAATGTTGCCGTATTCTCTGTTTAGTTCTGTATTTTCGCACAATCTTGATTTTCTACCAACTCTCGAATTTGTTAATAAAATGTAGCTTGTGAATAGATTTTTTTAAAAGGGAAACTTTAACCACCAAAACTGCTAGTTCTTAATGTATTAGATGTGGTCCTTTTCTCGGACAATTAAAAACAGGGCTGGGCAAATGGATGATCCCCAGATGTTGCGGAACTCCATCTGCAATTTCTGAGAAATTACATTGTTTATATCAGTACAAAAAACATCTGCCTCGGGATTCTAAGACAGACAGCCACTAGAATCGCTTCCCCCCATGCATCCTCAGTGTTTCTGATTGGACCAGAGATCACCATTGTTGATTATCTCACGATAAGAGGAGAGGAGACGGTACCAGCGCTGTATTTTTAATTTTTTTTAAAGAAAGGAGGCTCTCATAATCAAAACTAAAAAAAGGAACACGTCTGATTTTAAAATAAATCTATTTATTTTTAACATCGTTAGAGTGTACCCTTAAAACCCTGATACAAGTGTTTTTTTGCTGTGACCTGCATCTCGCATCTTTTCTGCGCCGTACCTGACATCAGGCGTGGCTCTCGTCAGCTAATTAAAGCTTAATTAGCGTTTTAATCGTCGTTACCTGAGAAGAACTACACAGCAAGTAATTAGAATGTTTGACATCTGTTTAATGGTGCTAATTGGGAGCTATACGCTTTCTGTGATGTTTAATGCGGGATAACCAGACATAATAACGGGGAAAAAAATACACGCTGATCTTTAATTTCATTTAGCAAGATGCTAACTAGGGTTTTATCACATTTGTTAGGTTTGTACTTATTATACTGTAAATATATGGAGTGTTTACATGATACTCACCTTCCAGGGAAAAGATAGTTCGAGTTTCTGTTTCTATAAAACTTAGCTGAACAAATGGATTGAATTTACTTGAGTTTACTTAAAAAAAAAAAAAAATACATCATTCAGGGCTGCATGTGGTGAGGCTGTCGTATCATCATAATTTTTGCGTGACACTAATGATTTCTTGGTCAGTATGCAAATTCACTTCCTACATTAACAAGGTTATTTAATAAAATGTGAAATGTCAGGAACTTAAAGGTCACCAGAACAGTTACAGCTTATAGTGAGTATAGTCAGTCTCTTCAGGCTTTTTGCAGTAAACACAATCTGTTCAGAGAAAATGCAGTGTTTACATTACAGCCTAGGGATACCTGCACTGGCCACTCCCCATATAATTACTAGAGGTGCTTCCTGGGGCAGTGCTGCACAGTGTGAATGAGATTCAGTGTCTCCACCCCCTGCACGCAGACACTGAACTTTCCTCCTCTCTAAGGAGATGTTTTTTGGCCAGGGCTGTGTTTGGCTTGTTCTGGCTCTGTCCCTGATCTGTCCTTTAACATGAAGATATGTTATGTGCCCAGGCAAACATGGTGGATCAGGCCAGAGGCATACTTAAGAGTATTTGTTACCCAGGCAAAATTATCTTTTGGCTCCCCCTGAAAAAAAACAAAAGAAATGCGTTATTGCTCAACCACCCCTTTACTCTTTGCAAACACACCTCTTGTCTGTGTCCTTCCTGATCCCCCATTACCTCCTTGCTCTCTTTTATATCTTGCCTTACCTCAATTCCCTCCTTGTGTGTCTATTTTGTGTCTCTACTTTTCTCTCTTATGGCCTTGTATCTCCCTGTACCCCGGCCCTATACCAGTGACAAATAGGCCCCACTATCCTCGGTGACAAGGGAAATAGATAAAGTGATTTTTATTAAGATGTAGAGCACGGCACTCGGAGATAAGTATAGTCATTAGGTTAAGGAGAGAAATGTATCAGTCGCCTTTTCCACCCGACAAAAAGTTAAACCAGATTTCTACAGCAAGATAGAGCTGTTTTATGCAGCATTTTTCAACTTTTTATAATCCTTTTTGATTGTTTAGGAGCATCATCAAACTGGCTGGCTCTCAGAACATTTAAACGTTCAATCAGACCACATACTGTGCAGCCGTCATGAATTAAACATGGCTCAGTACGTCTTCATATTTAAAGGGAAACAGGAGTGCTTCTTTCGAGTAAACTTTTTTACTTTGTTTTGAACTCTTTTTATTTTTTTATTTTTCATGAAAAATTATCTAACTTAGCTATTTTTGCAGTTCCATTTCCCGTGTCAATTTTGTTTCGATCCGAATTGCGATTAGTTTGAATTTGAGACCGATCGGATGGTCATTCGAAATTCCTAAATTCTGAGCTAAAATGTAGCAGGATCACGAAACAAACTAACTGCTCAATTGCTGAACATGTTCGTGTTTGAGTCGTGATTCTGAATTACACCCTATGGCACCAAAAAGAGAGATGATTAATGGGAAATAAAATTGACGGTTAAAGGACAGTCACTAAATATTTATTTTATTCACAGATCAAATGAGAAGTCGGCAACAGAGGGGGAAAAAAGTTTTAAAAAAATCTATATTTATATAGTATATATATTTAATAAACACATATAATATATTATCTATCGGTCACTTTTTTCACTTGATTTGTACATACATTTTGATTCATCTTATCCATTTCCCTGTCAGTTTTTAGTTATTGAAATTCAGCCAAGCTGAACTGATATGACCAAAATTTGCCCAACCCAGATTTTCTTTTGGGAATACATTTTTCAAACACATTTTCTAGCCGCACATAATTCAAATGGCTACTCTCGTCATCCCAAACATCTGACACTCCAATAATAGCCATCAGTACTATAACCTGATACTTTGCATTTCTTTTTATAAATCTTCCCATTAGTTAAAACAATAGCCCACGATGGACAATGTTATTGGGGCATCCTTACCGCTCTGTAGCGTAACCCAGTATTATTACAGTGCGAAGTCGTAGACATAGTGTCTTTATTAATGACAATCTAATTCTATAAATAATACAATGTATTCACAGCTCATCAGTCACCCTCGGATAATTCCTTCCAGAGATCGTTGGTGCCGCACAAAGCTTAATATCATTATTTTAGAGTAATTATTGAAACTATATATTTCATTTTCATTAATGCATATCACCATCATGTTTATTTAATTAGACTCATTGCTTTGCCACGAACTGACTGTTAATGGTTTGATTAATTGCTTTTAGCAATATTTATTAAACGATACCGTGATGTTAACTACGACAGGCAAAAAACGGATATATGTGTAGGCAGGAAAGTAAGAGAGATGTTTTTATTCTGCCATGTTTACACAGGTTGTACGTTTTAGTGTTGTCCCAATGGAGCAACCAAAACTATAGCATCTCTTAATGTTCTTTTATTTATTTTTTTGTGATTTTTTTTGTTGCTGTTAATATTTAAAGTATGTGTTAGAGTAGCTAGGGTTGGGGGCACCTTCGGGGGGGGGGGTCTTTGGATATTTTCCAGCGCAGGTAGTTTAAGTACTTCATAAAGATTTTACCTTTATTGAATCCTCAAATGGACAGAGAGTTAATAAAGATCCTTTGATGGGACATTCAAAGCACAAAAACAACTTTAGCTTAATGAAGCAGTTTTGGTGTATAGATCATGCCCCTGCAGTCTCACTGCCATTTAGAATTAAATCGCTCTTGTTTCTGTTTATGCAGCCTTAGAGACACCTCCCATGGTTGTGACTGATACAGCCTGCATGAAAAAAATATGATTGATTTTCAGATCAGATCTTGCAGCAAAGTGTGTTATCTATCTGCTCTGTTAATTGAACTTTCATCAAACGAAATAGGCTTCTGCAGTGTCTACCAGACTTTTAACACAGCAGGTTACAAGAAATTCTAAATATAACAGAATGTACAATAAAGGAAGTGTAAACATTAGATGACTCTTTACAGGAAGTGTTTAGGAAGGCTGTGCAAGTCACATGCAGGGAGGTGTGCCTAGGGCTGCACAAACAAAGTGATTTAACTCCTAAATGACAGATAATTGAGCTATGAGACTGCAGGGACATTATCTATACACCAAAACTGTTTCATTAAGCTAAAGTTTATTTAGTGTGTAGCGTATTCCCTTTAAAGCTTAGTACTAGTTTGGTTTAAGGGTAAAGGTTAGTGTCAGGAATAGAGGGTAGGGTTGCACATAATATTTAGGATTATAAGTTAGTATTTAGGGTTTAGGAATAGTGTTTGAAAAATATCTCCATCTCAGAGGAAAAGAACATTTTCCAGTTAGGCTGTTTTAGTCTCTTACTGAATAATTCCCCAAATATTTTGGGCCTCATGTACCAATGTCATACTGATATGTTTTCTGTTGGTATAACATTTTTTTGATGACTATTTAAAATACTCGGCAAACAGCAGCAGGAGGTAACTGCCATCCTGGCCCAGTCCGCATTAATAATGATATTCTGTAGTTTTCCAGAGTGCACACCGAGGGATTCTTAAATAACCAATAATTGTAACTCTGCAGAATTGGACGACTTGCGTTCTCCACCACTTTCCCCCCTCCCGAATAAAAGTTCTTCTGGAAACTCAGAGAAGTATTAACTGTGTCCAGAGGTGGTTTTGTCGTTCTGCCTGGAAGTTATATAACTCACATTTTTTTAAGCATATTACACCCCACAGATGTTCAGCCTTATATCTTTATACTCAAGAAAACATGTCTAACTCCTGAGGCGTAGGTTCAGAATCCCACTGCAAATTTTGGGACATATGTCTTGAGGCAATATAAAAAAAAATGTGCATGAGGTTTGTTCTATAAACAGTTGCTGGGGATTGAAAACTTAGTTTTCATCAGAGACGTACATAGGTTATGTGGCAAAAAATATATATGAATACCGCACTCAATGTTGTAAAATAATCAACCGTAGGTAAAGAAGTGCTATAATTGAGTTTATTATGTTCAATTCTTAAATGTATAGTTATATAACTTAATATGTGAGATTATGATATGATAAAAAGAATATATTACATCATATAGTCAATCGCTATTTACACAAATAACCTCCATAGGTGTTATATAAATAAATAATTAATGTATAAACACAGTTGTAAGTATTTCTGTTTGCAAAACTAAGGAGAACCTATCCATATGGATAATAGTCGAATCTGTGGTGTTCTATGTACATAGAAAAAAGAAAAAAGAAAAAAAGAGAAAAAAGAAGAAAAACTGAAAAAAATTTACAAAAATGATGAAAAAATTGAAAAAATATGTAAAAAATATACAGATAATAAATGTCCTGATGTACAATAGTCCAGAGAATAGTGCATAGGTTATGTGGCACCTGGGGTGGGGGTGGGGGATATATATTGGTACTCCATCAACCCCAAACTGTATTTTTTTTTTTTGCTGTCTCTCTACAATGCCTTATCAATTACAAACATAAACACTCACTAACATTTATACACACACACACATACTTAAACACAAACATGTATACTTACTCACATTTTTAGGGGGGATTTTTTTTTCTCTGTTCAATAATGTGCTACGACAAAAATAGGTTAAAGGCCTAGCTTTATCAAGTTTTTCAAATGATTTAAAACTGTTAAAAACTTTCAAAATGCTTTAGCTAGAGACTTCCCCATTAAATGGACACTAAAGTCACCAAAACAACTTTAGCTTAATGAAGCAGGTTTGGTGTATAGATCATGCCCCTACAGTCTCACTGCTCAATTCTCTCACATTTATGAGTTAAACCATTTTGTTTATGCAGCCATAGTCACACCTCCCTGCAAGTGACTTGCACAGCCTTCCTAAACACTTCCTGTAAAAAGATATTTAATGTTTAAACTTACTTTAATTCAATTTAGAATTTCCTATCTCCTGCCCTGTTAAATAGTTTTCTATACCTTGCAGGAGCCTAATTTGTGTGTTTAAAGTTGAATTTACAGAGAAGGAGTTAGAAATCTCTAAAGCAAGTAAACAGCTGACTAAAATAACCATTTATTTCCATGCATGCTGTGTCAGTCACAGCTCTGCATAAACAGAAACAAAAGTGATTTAACTAGTAAATTTCAGATACCGTATATACTCGAGTATAAGTCGACCCGAATATAAGTCGAGACCCCTAATTTTACCCCAAACAACTGGGAAAACTTATTAACTCGAGTATAAGACTAGGGTGGGAAATGCAGCAGCTACTGGTAAATTTCTAAATAAAATTAGATCCCCAAAAAATTATATTAATTGAATATTTATTTACAGTGTGTGTGTATATAATGAATGCAGTGTGTGTGTGTGTGTGTGTGTGTATGAATGCAGTGTGTGTGTGTATGAGTGCAGTGTGTGCGTGTATGAGTGCAGTGTGTGTATGTGATGCAGAGCCTTGGTGGGGGGGTGGGCATTTTTATTATTTCTTTAAATTATTATTATTATTATTTTTTATATATATATATATATATATATTATTAATAATTGTTTTATTATATTATTATTTAATTTTTTATTTATATTTATTTTCATCCCCCCTCCGTGCTTGTTAGCTGGCCAGGGAGGTGGGCTCTCATTCCATGGTGGTCCAGTGGATGGGTTGTGCATGAGGGGGGCTGTTACTTACCTTTCCTGCAGCTCCTGTCAGCGCCCTTCTCTCTCATCCGTTCCCGTCAGCTCCCTTCTCCTCCACTGTAAGTCTTGCGGCCGCGCGGAGCGTTCCCCCCGGCTCTCGCGAGACTTGCAGTGGGAGCTGACAGGGGAGCTGACCGGACCGGAGGAGAGAGAAGGGAGCTGCAGGAAAGGTAAGTAACAGCTCTCTGCCAGCCCCCAACAGGACCGCCGGGCTTCTAATGAGCCCGGCGGTCCTGGTCTGTATTATGGCAATGTAAGTTGCCATAATACAGACAGTGACTCGAGTATATGTCGAGTGGGGGTTTTTCAGCACAAAAAATGTGCTGAAAAACTCGACTTATACTCGAGTATATATGGTAATTGAGCAGTGAGACTTCAAAGGCATTATCTATACACCAAAACTACTTCATTAAAGGGACTCTCCAGTGCTGGGAAAACATATCCGTTTTCCTGGCACTTCAGGACCCCGCAGTGCCCCTCTCCCTCCCATCCCCCATCCCATATTACTGAAGGGGTTAAAACCGCTTCAGTGACTTACCTGAATCCAGCGCGGATGTCCCTCGGCGCTGGGTCAGGCTCCGCTCACTCTCCTCCCGCGCCAACGTCAGCTGGCGGGGGAGACCTATTGTGCATGTGCGGCAATGGCCGCACGCGCCCATTAGACATCCCCATAGGAAAGCATTGTTCAATGCTTTCCTATGGGGATTGTAGTGGCGCTGGAGGTCGTCATGCATAGCGCAAGGACGTCCAGCATCGTTTAAAACACTTTTCGTGTTCTAAGAACACGGAAGTCCCTCTAGTGGCTGTCTGATAGACAGCCACTAGAGGAGGACTTAACCCTGCAAGGTAATTATTGCAGTTTATAAAAAACTGCAATAATTACACTTGCAGGGTTAAGGGTGGTTTGAGTTGGCACCCAGACCACTGCAATGGGCAGAAGTGGTCTGGGTGCCTGGAGTGTCCCTTTAATCTAAAGTTGTTGTGGTGACTATAGTGTCTCTTTAAAGTGTCAATGGGAATCTTTGTAGATAAATAATTTTAAAAGATTTTTAAACAGTTTTGTAAAATTTGGAAAGCTTATTAAATGTAATTGTCAAACATTTCTTAAACCCGTGGTTTTGATTATGAATTGGAACTTTCACAGTTAATGTCCATCAAAGTATTATCAAACGCACTTTCCGGCTGTCATTCAAAGCAATAGTCATTCAAAGCAAGGGAAGAAATAATTCACAACTCCCCCCCCCCCAAAAAAAACTTAGACAAAACAAAAACCCTTGGTGGAAACGAGTTCTGGATTGTCTCGATTATTGTCACTCTCGATGATTTATTGTAGTGAATGTCCCCATGACTTTGTGTCAGCACGGCGCCCATTTGTACCGCAGTAAAGTAATAAACCAAAGCATTACCTTTAATTTTCATATCACACGTTTTAATTTATTTTACAGCGGCTGCTGCAAGAAGCTGCCTTAAATCACATGGCTATATTATTATTTTTTCCCCGTGACAGCCGCTCGTTCGTTAAAGAAGCAAAAGTGTATATGAAGTGAAGTTACTTTCATTAAATATTTGTCGACTCTGTTAGGGGAAGCCACAGACGCGGCATGTGGTTCCGTGGAGATTTATGACACTACAACAGCGTTCCTTGGTTGGGAAGATGCCACAAGTAGGCTCGAAAGGTGCCATCAATAATGATAGATTTATGACGGCATAATATAGAACATCAGTTGGGAAACACAACAGATAGATTTGCGAAGAAGTGAAAAATCAAGGGTTATAACTCCTGCGGTGTGCTCCTCATTGTAAGGGTAGTTTGATAAGCGCCATATACTATAAACGTTCGGTAATGTTTGGCACTCCACCTACTTTGAATTGCGATTCCTACGATGCCCAGCCAGCCGAGTCACCAGCAGAGATCTTTTAAATCTACCACTGAGCTATTCGATCACAAATAAATGTTGTAAGTTATTGAGTTGAGAAATAACTTTCAAAATACTGGTCAATTTAGGCAAAAATATGTAATCTGGAAAAAAATTTATCTCAAACTTCATGAATTAGAGTGTTTATTGTTCCAACTAAAATCATTGTATAACAAGTTGGACTCATCCTTGGCCACATTTCAGCTTTTTGATTAATTTTTTTTGTTAACCTCTGCTGTGAATAAATGTTTTTAGTGCATTCAATGTTTAATGTTTTTATCCAATGGACAATGGGCGAGTGATTGCCTTAAAGTCACAAAGTTCTACGTGTTAAGACCTTACTTCTACAACACTACAGCTCTGCAACACCTGAGTACATAAGGGTAATGGGTTTAATATAGCACTGCCTGCATTAATAAAAGGTCTGCACTAATATTTATTTATGTTTTGTGTGTATTCTGAATTTTTGAGATCGGGTATCCTTTTGAATTGTCCCACGAAATTAAGCTCTGCGCTCAAACTACCAATACTACTGGGCAGCAGCAATGGCTATAGTATTCCATCAGCCCTAATCAGGGCCGGATTAACATAGGGGCTGATGGAGCTGCAGCTCCAGGCCCAGGCCCATGGAATAGGCCCATTTAAAAAAAAAAAATAAAATTATTTTTTTTACACACTACTCAGCTTTGCCACCTGACTGGTATTTTAATGGCACAGACGGTATTTGAGGCTGCCTGGCCATGCCGGTATTGCAGTAATACCGGCAATACAAATGCAGGTCATTTTCTCAGAATAATTGGAAATTACTCTGCAATACCAGCACCGGCCAGTAGGGGTCACTCTGTGTGGAGAGAGGCAGGGATAGGAAGTTACAGAATATCCCTGCCTCTCTCTACTACTCACTGATCCGTGGGGGAGCAGCTACACAGCACAGAGTCCAGACAGCAGCTCTACAGCTCAGGTAAGTGAGGGATGGGGGGAAAGGCAGCAGGGCACTAGGGGACACTGAGACACTAGGGGACACTGAGACACTAGGGGACACAGACACTAGGGGACACATGATGACACATACACTAGGGGACACTGAGACACTAGGACACAGACACTGGGAGACCTGGGAACACTGAGACACTTGGGGACACTGGAAAACATGGGGACACTGAGACACTTGGGGACATATGGGGACACAGACACTAGGGGACACATGGGGACAGTCACTAGGGGACACTGAGGCACTAGGACACATGGGGACACAGACACTGGGAGACCTGGGGACACTGAGACACTTGGGGACACTGGAAAACATGGGGACACTGAGACACTAGGGGACACTGGGACACATGGGGATGCTGAGACATATAGGAACGCTGTGAGACATAGGGACATTGGGAGACATTGGGACACGTAGACACTATGTCCTCCAGCCAGTGTCCCTAGTGTCTCAGTGTCCCCAAGTCTCCCAGTGTCTGTGTCCCATGTCTCTCAGTGTGCCATGTGTCCCAGTGTCCCCGTGTCTATGTCCACAACTGTCCCCATGTCTCCCCAAGTGTCTGTCTCCCAGTGTCTGTGTCCCTCGTGTCTTAGTGTCCCCAAATGTTTCAGTGTCTCCAAGTCTACCAGTGTCTGTGTTCCTAGTGTCTCAGTGTGCCTGGTGTCCCCATGTCTCCCAGTGTCCCTATATGTCCCAGTGTCCACATGTCTAACTCCACAACTGTCCCCATGTCTCCCAGTGTCCCCAAGTGTCTGTCTCCCAGCCAGTGTCCCATAGTCTCCCAGTGTCTGTGTCCCTAGTGTCTTAGTGTCCCCAAATGTTTCAGTGTCCCCATGTCTCCCAGTGTCTGTGTCCCTAGTGTCTCAGTGTCCCCATTTCTCCCAGTTTCCCTAAATGTCTCAGTGTCCCCATGTCTCCCAGTGTCCCCATTTCTCTGTGTCCCCGGGTCTCTCGGTGTCCCCATGTCTCTCAGTGTCCCCAGTATCCTAGTGACATGGGGACACACTGGGACATTGGGACACTGGTAGAAATGGGGACACAGACACTGGGAGACTAGGGGACTGAGCGACATGGGGACACTGACACTGTGATACATAGGGACACTGAGACACTGGGTGACTTGCGAGACTGAGACACTGGGAGCAATCCATCTATACAGCAGAATCAAACTGTGAGTAGTTTGTTGGTGATTTTACAGAATTTTCTCTGATGTCACTCCTTTGATTTACATCATGTGATGTCACGCATAACTAATTAATTATACAAATGATTATGGCTGGTATTTTTTTCCAAGAAAGGTGGCAACCTTAACTACTCTTCACATACTCTTGCTTAAAGGAGCACTATAGGGTCAGGAACACAATCATGTATTTCTGACCCTATTATGTTAAAACCACCACCCTGGCCCCTTCTTGCCTAAATATAGTAAAATATTACTTGTATTCAATTCTGCAGCTGCTGGCTCAGAAGTGGTGGTCTGGGCAAATTACAATACTTCCCCATAGGATTGGCTGAGACTGTCAACTAGGCAGATCAGGGGCAGAGCCAGCACAAGTCCAACATAGCCCTGGCCAATCAGCATCTCCTCATAAAGATAAATTGAATCAATGCATCTCTATGAGGAAAGTTCAGTGTCTGCATGCAGAGGGTGGAGACACTGAATGGCAGTGCTGCACACTAGGCAGTACTGCCCCAGGAAGAACCTCTAGCAGCCATCTAAGGAGCGGCCAGTGGAGTTTTTTTCTCTGCACACGTTGGTCTCTCTAACACTGCGGCATGTCCCCTTTCTTCTTCACTCACTACAGACACCTTTTCTCTGTCTCAAACTATATACCAGGAACTTCTGCCTGCTTGTAAGAAGGTAAGGAGACAAGTGGACCAGCGAGTGCTAGGGGACAGTCCTTAGAAAGAATGGAGTGAGCGCATCATTAGACACATTTATGTCAAGCTCAAGGTGCTGCCTGCATAGTATGCCCTTAGTTGGACAGCCTGCATGATTGGCGGGCAGCATGACATGCATTCATGCCAGGCTGACCTTCCAATTCTTTGGACAAACATGCCCCCTTTTTGGGCATGTTCACCCCTTTTGGCTAGTCTTGTCACGTGATTCGCGCCAGTGGCACACCTTTTACCCTGCCCATTGACTTCCTGCTTCACTGGACACTGCTGTTAGGGGTTTTGGATTTACTTGAAAGATGAAAGCATAAATTAGAGAGAGATTAGCATAGAGTATGTGTTTTCTTATAGCTGCTTCCCATGAGTTTCCCTCCAGCACCATCTCCATCAGATACACGACGCTTGGGAAGTATGATTGTTTTAGTGTTTTTGGTCGATAAGATTCTGTAATTAGGCCCATCATAATTGTCAGCACCAGGCCCACTGTGCTCTTAATCCGGCCCTGGCCCTAATACATATTACAAAACCAAAAAAATGTACATGTGCGCTATCGTATATCCCTATGAACATTTAAACAATATGAGGATTTTAGTATCAATCCAATGGAGTGTAAGCTTACCTGAATGGTCATGGCAAGCCATACGCTAACAATTCACCTGTTGCCTTTAGCTGAAAGGCAAAATATCTGAGACAGAAAAGGATATTCTTATACACGTATTAATTCGTATTAATTCTTATCAACTGATCTAGAATCAGGGCCGGATTAACATAGGGGCTGATGGAGCTGCAGCTCCAGGCCCAGGCCCAGGCCCATGGAATAGGCCCATTGATTTAAAAAAAAAAAAAAATTGTAACTTTTTTTTTTTTTACACATTTTTCTTTTCTCACACACTACTCTTACAATTCCACCTGGCTTTTTTTTTTTTGGCACAGCCAGTATTTGAGGCTGCCTGGCTGGTGCCAATATTACAGTGATACTGGCAATACAAATGCTGGTATTTTTCTCAGTATAAACAAGAGATTACTCTGCAATACCTGCACTGGCCAGTAGGGGTCGCTGTGTGTGTGAAGACAGGCAGGGATAGGAAGTTCCAGCATATCCCTCCCTGCCTATCTATACTCACTGATCTGCAGGGGTGCAGCTACAGAGAGTCCAGACAGCAACTCCCACCCTGCAGAGACAGCCTACAGCTCAGGGAAGTAAGGGATGGGGGAAAAGGCTGCAAGGAGACATACACTGAGACACTAAGGGGCACTGGGAGACATCATTATGGCACAGACACATGGGGACACAGTGTCCCCATGTCTCCCAGCCAGTGTCCCTGGTGTCTCAGTGCCCCCTAGTCTCCCAGTGCCCCCAGTCTGCCAGTGTCTCACTGTCCCCATGTCTCATAGTGCCTCCATGTCTCTCAGTGCCTCAAGTGTCACAATGTCCCCATGTTTCCAAGCTAGTGTCCCTAGTGTCTGTGGCCCTGGTGCCTCCATGTCTCAATGTCCCCATATCCCCTAGCCAGTGTCTCTAGTGTCTGTGTCCCCATGTCTTCAAGTGTCCCCTATTTTCCCATTGTCCCCATGTGTCCCAGCCAGAGTCCCCTAGTCTCCTAGTGTCCTAGTGACATGGGGACCCTGGGATACATGGGGACACAGGGAGACATGGGGCATTGAGACACTGTGATACATAGGAACACTGAGACCTGGAGTAATCGACACATGGGGCCACTGGGAGGAATCCATCTATACAGCAGAATCAAACTAAGTAGTTTTTTGGTGATTTTACAGAATTTTCTCTTATGTCACTCCTTGTGATTTACATCATGTGATGTCACCCATACATATTTAATTATGCAAACTAGTAAGGCCCGTATGTTTTTCCAAGAAAGGTGGCAACCCTAACTACTTTTCACATACTCTTACTTAAGTATGGAAACTTAAGAGGGATGTATGGGAACCAAACTTGTATGGACTGGCCGACAATGAATATAGTTAAAGAGACACTATAGTCACCAGAACAACAACAACAGCTTATTGAATTTGTTCTGGTGAGCAGAATGTATGTGTATGTGGTGAGTAGAATCATTACCGTCAGGCTTTTTGCTGTAAACACTGTCTTTTCAGAGAAAATGCAGTGTTTACATTACAGCCTAGTGATTACTTCACTGGCCACTCAGATGGCTGTTAGAGATCCTTCCTGGGTCATGGCTGCCTAACATGCATCCAAACATTCAGTATCTCCTCCCTCTGCATGCAGACACTGAACTTTCCTCATAGAGATTCATTGATTCAATTCATCTCTATGAGGAGATGCTGATTGGCCAGGGCTGTGTTTGAATCATGCTGGCTCTGCCCCTGATCTGCCTCTTTGTCAGTCTCAGCCAATCCTATGGGGAAGCACTGTGATTGGATCAGGCCACCACTTCTAATGATGTCAGCAGACTGCTTGTTTTTATGAGTCTAACAGCATGCAGAGTTACAGCTTCAGGCTTGAATATAGTAAGATTTTGCTATATTTATGGAGGCATGAGGGGCCCAGGGGGGCTAGATGGTGGTGTTAACACTATAGGGTCATGAATTCATGTTTGTGTTCCTGACCCTACAGGGAGTGCAGAATTATTAGGCAAGTTGTATTTTTGAGGATTAATTTTATTATTGAACAACAACCATGTTCTCAATGAACCCAAAAAACTCATTAATATCAAAGCTGAATATTTTTGGAAGTAGTTTTTAGTTTGTTTTTAGTTTTAGCTATGTTAGGGGGATATCTGTGTGTGCAGGTGACTATTACTGTGCATAATTATTAGGCAACTTAACAAAAAACAAATATATACCCATTTCAATTATTTATTATTACCAGTGAAACCAATATAACATCTCAACATTCACAAATATACATTTCTGACATTCAAAAACAAAACAAAAACAAATCAGTGACCAATATAGCCACCTTTCTTTGCAAGGACACTCAAAAGCCTGCCATCCATGGATTCTGCCAGTGTTTTGATCAGTTCACCATCAACATTGCGTGCAGCAGCAACCACAGCCTCCCAAACACTGTTCAGAGAGGTGTACTGTTTTCCCTCCTTGTAAATCTCACATTTGATGATGGACCACAGGTTCTCAATGGGGTTCAGATCAGGTGAACAAGGAGGCCATGTCATTAGATTTTCTTCTTTTATACCCTTTCTTGCCAGCCACGCTGTGGAGTACTTGGACGCGTGTGATGGAGCATTGTCCTGCATGAAAATCATGTTTTTCTTGAAGGATGCAGACTTCTTCCTGTACCACTGCTTGAAGAAGGTGTCTTCCAGGAACTGGCAGTAGGACTGGGAGTTGAGCTTGACTCCATCCTCAACCCGAAAAGGCCCCACAAGCTCATCTTTGATGATACCAGCCCAAACCAGTACTCCACCTCCACCTTGCTGGCGTCTGAGTCGGACTGGAGCTCTCTGCCCTTTACCAATCCAGCCACGGGCCCATCCATCTGGCCCATCAAGACTCACTCTCATTTCATCAGTCCATAAAACCTTAGAAAAATCAGTCTTGAGATATTTCTTGGCCCAGTCTTGACGTTTCAGCTTGTGTGTCTTGTTCAGTGGTGGTCGTCTTTCAGCCTTTCTTACCTTGGCCATGTCTCTGAGTATTGCACACCTTGTGCTTTTGGGCACTCCAGTGATGTTGCAGCTCTGAAATATGGCCAAACTGGTGGCAAGTGGCATCGTGGCAGCTGCACGCTTGACTTTTCTCAGTTCATGGGCAGTTATTTTGCGCCTTGGTTTTTCCACACGCTTCTTGCGACCCTGTTGACTATTTTGAATGAAACGCTTGATTGTTCGATGATCACGCTTCAGAAGCTTTGCAATTTTAAGAGTGCTGCATCCCTCTGCAAGATATCTCACTATTTTTGACTTTTCTGAGCCTGTCAAGTCCTTCTTTTGACCCATTTTGCCAAAGGAAAGGAAGTTGCCTAATAATTATGCACACCTGATATAGGGTGTTGATGTCATTAGACCACACCCCTTCTCATTACAGAGATGCACATCACCTAATATGCTTAATTGGTAGTAGGCTTTCAAGCCTATACAGCTTGGAGTAAGACAACATGCATAAAGAGGATAATGTGGTCAAAATACTCATTTGCCTAATAATTCTGCACTCCCTGTATAGTGATCCTTTAAGGTAATGCTGACTTTGGTCTCTCTAACACTGTGGCATGTTCCATTTCTTCTACACTCACTACATACAGCTTTTCTCTGTCCCAGACCATATACCAGGAGCTTCTGCCTGCTAGTAAGAAAGTAAGAAGACAAGGAGACCAGCTAGTGCTAGGAAACAGTCCTTAGAAAGCATTGAGTGAGCGCATTATTAGATGCATTTATGCCAAGCTCAGGGTGCTGTCTACATAGTATGACCCTAGTTGGCCAGCTGCATGATTGGCAGGCAGCCTGACATGCATTCATGCCAGGCTGGCCTTCTAATTCTTTGGGCAGATATTCCCTCTTTTTGGGCATGTTCGCCCCATTTGGCAGGTCACGTGATTTGTGTCAGTGGCACACCCTTTTACCGTGCCCATTGACTTCTTGCTTGACTGGACACTGCTGATAGGGGTATGGATTTACTTGAAAGATAAAAACATAAATTAGAGAGAGATTAGCCTAGGGTATGTGTTTTCTTATAGCTGCTGTTTTCTTTCTCTCCAGCACCATCTCCATCAAATACATGACGCTTGGGAGTGTTTTATTGTTTTTGGTCGATATGATTCTGTAATTAGGCCTGTCATAATTGTCAGCACCAGGCCCACTGGGCTCTTAATCTGGCCCTGCCTAGAATGGTTAGATATATACTATTTGAACTGCCCCACTAATCATGTTTAGATCTATTTCATGTTAAACATATCAAATTCAAAGTAAAAAGCACTCTGACGTTGCCCTTAATGGGGTTTGCCTAACTTCTTCGGGTTGCAGATAGGTTTCTAGCCTTTCACTTTACAATAAGGGTATATATATATAAAAAAAAAAAACAGATACATAGACACACTGACAGGCATTCAGATACACAACACACACTGACAGACATAAAGACACACACACACTGACAGACATAAAGACACACACACTGAGACAGACAGATACACACACACTGACTGACATAAAGACACACACACAGGCAGACAGACAGACATCAGATACACACACAGGCTGACATACAGACACACACACACGGAGAGAAATACAGATACACACACAGGCAGACAAACAGAAACAATAACAGACATACAGATACACAACACAGACTGACAGACACGTGCTTCATAAGAGGGCACCGCACGGGAAGAAGGAGAAGGCAGCAGCAGGGAGAGCAGAGACTGGAATACGCTGCTGCTCACACTCAGTGCCATCAACCTCAGCCAGCATCACCAGGACTGAGCTGAAGGTAAGATCCAGGCTGATTGTGTGCAGATCCAGGAGTTGTGTGTGCTTCCTAATGCGGCTATTGTATGTATATGGCTGTGCTCTGGGTCCCTGTGCGGAGCTTGAATTCTCTCAAGCTCTGCATTTAGCATTTCCTAGCTGGACATGGAGCTCACACACCTTTTGCTGTTACTGATCCCCTCTTTATGATGAGGGTCAGCACATTTAGATATATATATATATATATATATATATATATGTTGTAGATCTCTGTGAGCTGGCTGAATGGCTGCAGCTCAGAGAGTTTAGGGAAATTGTGAGCCACCCCAATCTCTTGATCATAGGCGTGCGCAGCCTACTGCATTATGCAGGGTGCTGTTTCTGTGCTGTGTGTGAGAGGGTGCTGTGTGTTTGAGGGTGCTGTACGTGCGAGGGTGCTGTATGTGTGTGAGGGTGCTGTATGTGTGTGCTGTGTGTGGGTGCTGGTGCTGTATGTGTGTGCGCTGTGTGTGTGGGTGCTGTATGTGTGTGGGTGCTGTGTGTCTGTATGTGTGTAGGTGCTGTGTGTGTGGGTGTGTGTGCTGTATGTGTGTGGGTGATTGTGGGGGTACATTACTTAATATCCCCCCTCCCTTCTTACCTTATGTAGGGAGGGGGGGCCGTGCCGCTGCTTTCCCTGGTGGTCCAGTGGAGAATGAACTCTAGCCCCTGAGATCTGAGAATTGCCGCGACTCGCAAGAGGAACCCGGCAGAGCTGCTGGTTGAGCTCCCCAGGTCCTCTTCTGCCTCCCTCCATGCTGCAGTGGGGAGGGAGGCTGAGAGCAGAGCATGAGCCGACGGGGGATCCTGAGATCTTCCCTGCCGGTCTCAAAATATTGTAAAGCGCTACGGAATCTGTTGGCGCTATATAAATGATAATAATAATAATAATACATAGGCGTGCCGTGGGGATTAGGGTGTGCCCAGGCACAACAGACACACCCCGTGCGCACGCCTATGCTCTTGATCTGCCATGCCTCCCCCCCACTCTCTTGATCTGCCATGCCTCCCCTCCACTCTCTTGATCTGCCATGCCTCCCCCCCACTCTCTTGATCTGCCATGCCTCCCCACTCTCTTGATCTGCCATGCCTCCCCACTCTCTTCATCTGCCATGCTCCCCCACTCTCTGTTTCTGGTCTGTACTTCCACCACTCTCTGCTTCTGCCCTGTGTCCCACCCACCCCCCTCTCTGCTTCTGCCCTGTGTCCCCTCCCCACTCTCTGCTTCTGCCATGTGCCCCTCCCCATTCTCTGCTTCTGCCCTGTGTCCCTCCCGCTCTCTCCCTCTGCCCAGTGTGCCTCCCCCACTCTCTGCTTCTGGCGTGTGTCCTCTCCCCACTCTCTGATTCTGCCCTGTGTCCCTCCCCACTCTCTGCTTCTGCCCTGTGTCCCTCCCCACTCTCTGCTTCTGGCCTGTGTCCCTCCCCCACTCTCTGATTCTGCCCTGTGTCCTCTCCCGACTCTCTGCTTCTTGCCCTTGTCCCTCCCCCACTCTGCTTCTGCTGTCCCTGCTTCTGCCTTGTCCCTCCCCCACTCTCTGTTGCTTGTGTCCCCTTCCCGACTCTCTGCTTCTGCCCTGTGTCACTCTCTCTGCCACTTCTGCTTCTGCCCTCCCCACTGCTGCCATGTGTCCCCTTCCGACTATCTGATTCTGCGGTGTCCCTCCCCACTCTCTGCCTCTGCTCTGTGTCCCCCTCCCCCTCGCTGCTTCCTACTTCTCTGCCGGGTTCTGCCCTCCTGCTGTCCCCTTGCCCCCACTCTCTGCTTCTGCCCTGTGTCCCTCCCTCTGATCTGCCTGTGTCCCTCCCCACTCTCTTCATCTGCCTCCACCTCCCCCCACCCCTCTCTGCTTCTGCCCTGTATCCCCCCATGCTCTGCTTCTGCCCTGTGTCCCTCCCCACTTTGCTCTGGCCTGTGTTCCCTACCCCACTCTCTGCTTCTGGCCTGTGTTCCCCACCTCTGCTTGCCCTGTGTCCCTCCCCCACTCTCTGCTTCTGGCCTATACCCCACTCTCTGCTTCTGCCCTGTGGTGCCTCCCCCACTCTCTACTTCTGCCCTGTGTCCCTCCCCTACTCTGCATCTGCCCTGTGTTCCTCCCCATCTCTGCTTCTGCCCTGTGTCCCCTCCCCACTCTCTGACGCCCTGTGCCCCCCACTCTCTGTATCTGCCCTGTGCCCCCCACTCTCTGTTTCTGCCCTGTTCTCCCCACTCTCTGTTTCTGCCACGTGCCCCCCCACTCTGTTATGGCCCTGTTCTCCCCACTCTTCTTCTGCTCTGCGCCCCCACCCTCTTTCTGCTTCTGCCCTGCTGCAAACATAAAATATATCACATGTATGTGTCTATGTATGTCAGAGTGTGTATGTATATGCTAGTGTGTATCTTAGTGTGTGTCTGTGTGTGTATCTGAGTGTGTGTGTTTTTCTTGGTGTGTGTCTGTGTCAAGGTGTATGTGTCAGTGTGTTTATATGTGTGTTAATGTGTATGTGTATCTGTGTAAGTATGTATGTGCATACATCCCAGCAATCAAAAACATGTAAACACATCCATTACATTAAAAAACATCCCTGATTTCAAACTCCAAAATTATATATATATATATATATATATACATACACACACACACACACATAAACACACCCCTTCACACAAATGTTCATCTGCATTTAAAAGACACTACATCCAAACACACCCTGAATGAAAATATTATATACAAACACACCCTTGTATTAAAACGCTAACATTATATGCAAACACCAACTCTACTGACTCATACACATCTGCATTTAAAAGCCAACCCTACATACAAGCACTCCACTGCATTCCAATGGTAACAGTACATACAAATACACCTCTACATGCACACACCTATACAAAAACAGGCTTACATTCAAACGCACAAACACTGCTCACAAATACAACAATGCAAGGATGGCCAAATGGTAGATCCCTAGCTAGCATAGCATCATGGGAGTTGTACAACAAATGGGGATCTATCTTGTCACCACTCTTGCGCTATGTGGTGGTGGGATTGTAGGGTCTAGGAGGCCCAAACGCACGCTTGCCCAGGGTCCAATCAGTATTAAAGATGGCTCTGCTTCCCTTGTACCCAGTCTGCGGGCTGAGGATGTTGGGAATTAGGGGCTGGCTCTTGCAGCCTGCACCCCCTCCTTTCCTGCATTCTCCTCTCTGCAGCTCCAATTTCTCCAGGCCTGGACTCCTCCTTACAACCTCCTCCCCCTCCCACGCGGCTCTGGTCTCTGGGAGGAAGTGACTTGCGGCACTCACTTCCTCCCATATTGCGATAAGTAAAGGACCTGTTTGCACTGTTAAAGCGCCACAGCGCCCCTGCTGACACATGCCCACCAGGTGGCCCTAAGTGAATGGGCCACCTGATGGGACTCCTAGGTGCGCAGGCCCAGTGCAGCACGAAGCTACACCAGCGGTAGTTCCTCGCGGGTCGTCTGAAATCCTTTGGTGGGCCGCATGTTGTGGAGGTCTGGCCTAATTCATGGTCATGATTACGGTTACAATCAGTTTGCCTTGAAATTCAGGATGGTTTATTTGCTACTGAAAAGCATTGTGCAGCAGTAAAACTAAGCTGAAAAAATGGCTCGTCTATATAATTGAACAAATGTTTTGTTTTTTTGCAAATGACCCTCTTATCTGTCGTTGCGGCTGCTAAACACCTACCTTCAATTACACATCCCAAGAGCGGAGCAGAGAACAGCGGGGTGGAAGTCCAACTTGTAATTGTCATGACTACACTCTCTGCATGCTTTTACTTTGCTGTCTCCGAGATCTAAATTAACTTCCGTCGTCATGGAAATGAATTGTGTGTTTTTTAAGGATACTGTCCCAAACTTCCAAGAAAACTTCCACAGTAAACCTTAATATTGTCACAGCCAGCTCAGGCAGAATGTTTTAGATTTATGTACGTGCTCGCTCTGAGTCGTAAACAGACTGCAAACTTTGAGACTGATGGACAAACTCTTTCACTGATAATTATTGCCATTCGAAGGATGTCTTGTCATCTCGTCACCTTGAGATATGGTAGAATACCTCCCAAATGGCCCTATTTAGTCAACATCCACAATTTGTGAATGACTGACACTGATATGAGCTCATTCCTAAATTCTGTATCCTACCTACTTGTTATGGCAGATGGTTCCCTTTGCAGAACAGTATTAAAGGGGGGTCCCAAACTAGTAAGCATTACAAAAGTTAAGTTTAAAGGGTTACTTCAGCCACCATGACCACTTTAGTGATTTGAAATGGCTAGGGTGGTCCGAGTCTGCATTAAACACTGCACATTTTGTTATTTTCACTTGTGTTCCGGGGGCTAGTTACACACCGCCACACATGAGTTAGTCAAGCTGGAACTTTGTTCCAAAAGGTCAGTTCTTTACATATTTTACGTCTATAGTCAGCGCATACTGCACGTTGGTAAAATACGTAATAATCTTCCCCCTTCCAGACAGCCCACCCCTAGAGGGGAAGATTGATTTTCCCTCCTTCCCACTAAGCGCTTCCTCTGTTGCTTATATTTTGGTTCTATTTTTTTAAAATTCACTCCCTCCGAAATTTCATCATCCCTGCCCCCTTTGCCAGCTCAGATGGCATATATGCACTGTGAGCTGGTGAAACTGTCCAATCACAGGTTTCTCTATGAGAAAGATGTAGTAGAAACGCAAGAGGACCCCTGCTGACATCAACGTGCGTAACTCCTTCCTGCTCTGGATTGCAGGTAAGTTTACAATTATTATTATTTTTTATTTATTTTTTCAATGGAGGGGCAGAGCCCAAAATGACGTTGTAAGCCTTAAAAGGCTTATTGTGGCAAAGGGTTGAAGTAACCATTTATGTACATGATCCCAAGGAGAAAATCTAAAATTAATTCCCAGGAATTTGTGTTTACATATTCTCTACATTTAAAGAAAAACTCCAAGCACCATAACCACTACAGTGCTATGCACCACTGTAGTGTTTACAATACCAGAAGTGCTCTGGTAGCCTCTGCCCCCTCCCCACCAATGCATTTAGTTAAACCTTTGCTATTTGACTTCTTACCTGGGGTTCACCTTTCTCTCCTCCGAGAGAGCGTCCGGCTGTGAGTAGGCAGAGAGCGCTCCCCGGGAGAGTGCAGGTAAACTGTCAAACCATTAGACAACGGTTTGATTGCTTACATTGCACCACTGGAATGTTCCTTTAACAAGTATTTGTAAAGGTATTCCTGGCACTTATATATCCTTTAAAATACTCTACATTAAAATGAAAATAATTATGTTAACGCAAGTGAAAGGTATTTTGCAATGTTTTATTCGATTATGTAATTTCCAGACAAGTGATGGCTCCCCTTTAAAATTTGGGGTTGATGACGTGTGTAAAATTCAGACCAGACCAAACCATTTAGAAGCCAATGTGATTTTTACAGAGGCCAAAGAAAACGATCTTTCATTAATTGCACAAGATTAAGCCCCCGGCATTAACATTTTTGGAGCCTTGGTTTCCTGGCTCCCATGATTTGCCAAAATATTACATAAACATTTTATGCTTTAAGTATATATATTAAATCAGGTATTTTTCCACAGTGCAGAAATTCTAATTGCTTCTCCCATAATGAATACTGCATGAAATGTTTTTTTTTTTTTCCCCCTTTTCTTTTTAAAAAGAAATCAAATTGTAACCAATAAAAGTATTAGAAATGCTATCGCCATTGTATACATAATGTAAATTCATGGGGTATGGCATTCAATGGCATTTATTTGCTAAACTGTGAATTGTGCTGAACTTGTCAAAAGAGAAAATAGCTGAACTGGTAAAAAAATATATATATTTTCATTTAAGTTATTTTCAGAACTTTATAGTAAAATTTTGTAAATGAACCTTAACACAAATTCTCTGTGTGCATTCGAGTGTGTCTGGCAGTATGTGTGTGTGAATATTTGTGTGTCTGGCAGTGTGTATTGTATATGCCTGAGAGTGTTTGTTTGTGAATCTATGTGTGTGTAGCAGTAACCGACTGGTTACCTCTGCTTATTCCTTCTCTGAGCCACTCTGGAACCATTAAAGTAAACAGACATCCATTCCCCCAGTAACCAGACGAAACATAGTTCTGGGAGTCAACTGAGGTTTATTTGGTCACTCACGGCATTTATGCACAGACCCCTACATGGGGTCTCCCATACAATAACACAGGGCTTTTCCTTCCAGGATCCTCTACAGAAAAATATACAATATTGTAAAACACATTTTCAAAGGGGGCTCATTTGAATGTGAAAGGGGGCAGATGGTTTACAACATGGATTGATCCTTTGGCATTGTCTCCGGCGACCCAGTTAAGCCATACCAACGAGTTGTGATCCGTGAGTAAATAAATGTATGGCTGTATCTTTTTGAGGGCCCACATCACCGCCAGACACTCCTTTTCGATGGCGGCTTGGCTCACCTCCTGGGGTAGTAGTTTTCTGCTGAGGTAAGCTACTGGCTCAGCACCGCTTCTAATCCAAACACAGAAGCATCCGTATGAATGAGAAAAAGTTTATTCGGATTAGGAGCAGCCAGGACGGGTGCATTTATCAGAGCACTCTTAAGGTATTGGAACGCTTGCTCACACTCTGGGATCCAGTGTACTTGTCGGGGCAAGTTCTTTCTGGTCAGGTCGGTGAGGGGGTTAGCTAGGGCACGGTAATTGGTGACAAACTTTCAATAGTAACCAGCAGTCCCTAGGAAGGCGCCATCACCTGGGTCTTAATGCAGGGAAGGTGCCAATTAGCTTCGGTCTCAATCTTTGCTGGCTCAGGTTTCGGTTTCCAACACCCTAATCTGTGTCCCAGATGCTGCACTTCTGCCATTCCTATATGGCACTTACTAGGCTTTAATGTTAACCCGGCTTCCCTGATCTTGTCTAGTACTGCGCCTATATGTTCTTCCCAAGTGTTGCTGTATATGGCGATGTCTTCCAGGTATGCACAAGCATAATCCTGGAGTCCATCCAACAGCCGGTCCACCATCCAGGCATCTCCTGCCTCATTCTCCCAAACCGCCTCTGGTATTCGGTATGGGGTCTGTCGCAGATGCTGTTGGTCAAAAAAGTTTCTACTCTGTGGGTGGCAGGGGCGGGCTGGGACAGGGGACAGGGAGGCAATTGCCCACAGGCCTCCCTAAATCATGTTAAAAATGTCCGCTGTGTTTAACACGCCTTAGGGTGCCAGAGCAGGGGGGTGCAAAAATCCAAATCCCCTGCCATTGACTTGGGATTGGGATTTTTCAACTCACCTTACTCTCCCTGCAACCTGCAGCCAGTGGAGTCGGCCGGTCTCTCCTGATGTCAGAAGGAGGGGGCGAGACTTCCACTGCTCTTCTCCTAGGACCACAAGTGATGACGCATTTTTTTTAAAGGGGGGGCAGCAAAATGCTGTGTAGCCAAAAATCCTTGCTCTGGGTGCAATGGGCCACTTGATTGGAATTGTCCCCCAAGCCGAAAGCTGCCAGCCCTCCCCTGGTGGGCGGTCAGTGGGGTAAACCCTGGCAGATTAGAGAACGTCTCTCTGTTTTCATACAGCATCTGCTGCGCTTGTCTGCGCTCTCTCTGAGTCAGTCGGTCCCCTAAGTGGATCTCATCTATGTACCGTGCCTGAACTTCATCCTCTAGGAGATCTCTCTGTCTCAGTCGGTCCCTTAAGTGGATCTCATCTATGTATCGTGCCTGAACTCCATCCTCTAGGAGATCTCTCTGTCTCAGTCGGTCCCTTAAGTGGATCTCATCTATGTACCGTGCCTGAACACCATCCTCTAGGAGATCAGGCAGGGGAAGATTATAAAAATCTTCCGAGGCTGGGGCACATATAGCGGCTACATCCTCTGTCCGCTCGTGGTAGGGTTTTAGCATGTTAACATGTAACATGCGTCTAATTCCTTCACCCGAGCAAGGACCGATAACATAGGTAGTGCCAGATTTCTGTTCAACTACCCGATATGGGCCCTGCCAGGCAACCTGTAGCCTGTCATGTCGGACGGGTTTCAAAACCAGAACCATCTGACCGACTTGAAAGCTCCTAGCCCCTTTATCATACCATTTGCGCTTATGCTCCTGTGCCGCCTGGAGGTTCTCACGCACCAGGGGAGTGAGTTCCTTCAGTTGGTCCCGAAGCTCCAGCACATAGGGAACGATGGGGATCCCTTCCTGATCCACATCCCCCTCCCAGTGTTCTCTGACTAGGTCTAAGGGCCCTCTAAGCTTTTGCCCTAATAACAATTCAAACGGAGAGAATCCTGTAGATTCCTGGGGCACCTCCCGGTATGCGAACAGAAGATGTGGCAGGAATCTTTCCCAATCCTTGCTGGTCGCTGCAAAAGTACAGAGCATCTGCTTCAGCGTACCATTAGTCTTGGGGTGGTATGAGGATCTAAAGATGGGTTTAATGCCGCCGAACTTCCACAGTTGGTGAGTCATCTCGGCAGTAAACTGGGTGCCCAGATCCGAGACAATCTCCCGGGGGAAACCCATACGGGAGAACACTCGCATCAGGGCCTCAGCCACAGTCTCCGCCTGAATACTGTTCAGGGCAACTGCCTCAGGATACCGAGTCGCGTAGTCCACAATGGTCAGAATATATTTCTTCCCAGTGGGACTAGGCTTGGCTAAGGGACCAATGATGTCGACAGCTACTCGGCCGAAGGGGTCTGCAATAATGGGCAGAGGATAGAGATTAATCTTACGCCTGTCGCCCCGCTTCACCACTTTCTGACAGACATCACAAGACTGGCAGTACTGCCGTAGTTCTTTGGAGATATCTGGCCAGAAAAACCTTTGGGTGAGCCGGTGTTTGGTACGATTCAATCCCAAATGCCCTGCCAGGGGAATAACGTGAGCTATCTTCAGCAGCTCAAGTCGATATTTCATGGGTACCACCAGCTGTTTGGTGGTAGTAGAAGCGGTCCCTGGACTTATCCTCTCTGCTATGCGATATAACAATCCCCTCTCCCAAATAAACTGCTCCCCCAATTCTGTCTGACTAGTGGTCACTTTGCCCTTATACTTCTGGAGGGAAGGGTCAGAAACTACTTCTTTTAAAAACTCGGCTGGGGTATCCCAGAGCAAGGGGACCGGGGCAAGGGTGCCTACCTGAGCCTCAGAGTGTGAGCCATCCTTGGTGTTGCAGGCCTGTTGTCTGGTCATCACAGGGTGCGATTCCTCGGGACTGTCGGCTGGTACATATGTGGAGTTTAGCTGGCCCAGGTCGTTGCCCAGTAGCACATCGGCTGGTAGGTGATTCATGAGCGCCACCTTCACAATTTTGTTTCCAGCGCCCCAGTCGAGATGAACTGTTGCAGTTGGTAGACGATGAATGGCTCCCCCTGCTACCCGGACGGCGACTGTTCCTCCTGTCTTCTCTGCCTCTTTGATCAGCTGGCGCTGTACTAGGGTCAGCGTGGCTCTGGTGTCCCGCAGACCTTGCACAGTGCGCCCATTCAACTTTACCGGCTGCCCGTGATGGTTTTGATTGTCTGCCGCGGCTTGTACTGGATCCGCCTCATGCAGGAAGGTCCAGACCTCTTCGTCGGGGTTGGGGCCGTACATGGGAGCAGCCTGGTAACTGTGGGCGGCTTCTTGGGGTGCTGGAGGGGACCCTGGGGAGATCCACTGAGAACGGTCTCTCTGTTGAGGGCAATCTCTTCTCATGTGGCCATACTGGAGACATTGATGGCACTGAGTATCTGCCCTTTTCGGTGCCCTCTGGATTGGAACTGGAGGCGGTAGGCTTCTGGATGGGGGTGCTGAAGTCAGAGGAACCGGTGGTGTAGGACGCACGAGTGGTTGGTAGCTGCGGAAGGTAGTGGGACGTTGGGGCCGTCGGGCATCTAAGTACTCATCTGCCCGCTGTGCTGCTTCCATCAGAGGTTTGGGTTGCTCGTCCCTCCCCCATTCATCCATCTCTGTGGAGAGGCCATTGTAGCGGTCCCTTTCGCATCGAGTAAAAAAAGGAGAGGAGGGCATCTGGCGGGTGCGGTCATTTATTCGCTGCATCAGAAGTTTGCAGGAGTGCTCTGAACACCAACAACGTCAATATCTTAAGACACCTCGAGCGCCGTCAGCACCATAAGCACCGTGTAACTGTAATAGGACATACAAATACATTTTGTTTACAGGAGTTTCATCGAAAGGGTTACAAACACGATTACAAATGTGGCATTCAGATATCTGCATACAATCGATATTACATTAAACATCTGAGGAATACAGGCTATACACAGAGATTTGGACTATACTTTTATACAAACGTTGGCTTATATACACAACATATCTTAACTAACGGCATGGACACAATTAATGTCCCAAAACATAATACAGCGATACAGGCCATTGTACAGCGCTACAGAATCTGATGGCGCTATATAAATAATAATAAAATAATAATAATAATAATATACACTTTTATAAACATGTACTTTTACAGCTTACCTCTCTCTGCTTGCCAAGGGGTGATACTTTAAACTTTAGCAAACCCTGATAACAATCTCCTTTCCACGAGGTGCAGCTCGCTGGCTTTGCATCTGAATGCTGAGTCACAAAGAGCCTATTGTTGCAGGAAGTAGAGGAAGGAGATGGGGTGTGTGACGATCAAAACATTCCCCAGGAAACAAAAGGGAGGCAGAAAGGTTCCGCCTTGTGGCAGTCAGTGCAGAACACAGACTTACAATTAGACACTCACAGCCATTATAAAATTGCTCCAGCAGTAACATTTGGAGAATTTCCAATGGGGACTGAAAATAATCTATCCCCATGTTACCTTGGCACCTACCTGAACCAGCCTAATTGCCTAAAACTAAATACTAAATAAAAAATTAAATTGTTTATACTAAATTAAAGTGCTACCAAGTGAATTGAAGAAAGAAAGAAAGAAAAAAAAAAGAGAGTGTTTGTGCATGTCAGGAGCAGTGTCTCTGATCTGGCTAACTTGCTTCTATATATACCCTTGTCAATTATTATGAAACAGGCTGCAGCTGATAAGGGGGTGGGGGAGGTGAGGGGGTGTATTTTCCCTTCCAATCTCTATTCATTGGTGAATTGTATTGACAGATATCCCAGCTGCATAAACCTGCTATATAGTTCATGATTATACATAAACTGGATTTATCAAAATTAAAAATGAACAAAGAAAAAAATAGATATATAAAAAAGGGGGATTATCCACTAAATCAAAATTTCTAAAATTATACCCCATTGCATCTTTGGGGTCAGTATTTAACCTGCAGTGTGCAATTGTTTGCTATAATGATCATATATCACATATAAAATACAATGGTTTCTATCAGATGGAAAACGAATGATCACCTAAATCGAAATTTCTGGTGATATAGTGAACCATCTGTATATCTCAACTGTATAGGAGTCAGCTCTCAAATTTTTGAGATTTTTGTCCCCCATTGTCTCCAAACTACCCTCATATATTAGGGACACGAATCAAATGTTGAACTTCCCGAATGATACAGGCCTCACTATGTAGTCTTGACGTTGACTCACTGTATAGTTCTATACCCTATACATTAGGGATATACAACATTAGAACTACTCTAGCAAAATAATACAACACTCCAGCTCACTATATAGACTTCATCTCGGAGCTCCTTACACTAGTCCTAACAAAGAATATCTTTCTATTCACTAAATATCATCAAATTAGGGGGACTGCCATAGGGACATCTTGTGCTCCTTCCTATGCAAACCTATACCTATGTTTGGCAGATCCCAAATTAAAAACTATTTTTGAATTTATTTATTGTTTGAAAAGATATATAGACGATATCTTTGCTATATGGCTAGGATCTAGTACAGTCTTTGAGGAGCTAATTAAAACTCTCAATGTGTATGACTATATTTTGAAATTCACAAGTGAGTTTGGCGGTAAACAGCTAATTTTTCTGGATCTGATGATCTCCATACCAGTGGTGGCAAGATCACAACCATGTTGTATCGAAAGAAGGCCGCCACTAATGGACTAGTTATCACCAGCAACCTTTAAAAGCAGGCATATCTAAAGGCCAATACTTGAGGCTAGGTCACAGTGGTGTCGCTGGGGGGGGGGTGGAGAGGGGGGGGCATGGCCCCCCTACATCATGTTGTGCCCCCCAAATGCCAGCAACTTGCTGGCCATGTGCTTATATTAAATTCCCTCGGACTGTAACAGTCTGTTAGAGCCCGAGGGAGGGAATGCAGGACAGAGCAGCTGTAAAGCTGCTTGGTGTTCTCTGTGGACGGAGGGAGCACTGACAGACTCCCCGGCACAGACCCCAACCCCAAACGGAGCCCCACCTCCCGCACATAAGCCTCACCCCCGCCGTTAAGCAGCAGACCTTGCTGCTGTTAGAAAGGCCAGAAGTTGGCTGTCTGACCGCCCAGCAACAGCCTCCAGTGACAGGTAGGCTTGATATGCTTGTGTGTGTGTGTCTGCTAGTGAGGAAGCTTGTGTGTGTATGGACTCAGCAGTCTGTGCGTGTGTATGTGTTTGTGTATGGATTCAGCAATCTGTGTGTGTGCGTGTGTGTGTATGTGTTTGTGTATGGATTCAGCAGTCTGCGTCTGTGTGTGTGTAAGAACTCAGCAGTCTGTGTGTGTGTATTTGTGTGTGTGTGTATGGACTCAGCAGTCTGTGTGTCTGTGTGTGTATGGACTCAGCATTCTGTGTGTGTGTATTTGTGTGTGTGTGTGTGTGTATGGACTCAGCAGTATGTGTGTCTGTGTGTGTTTGTGTGTGTATAGACTCAGCAGTCTGTTTGTGTGTGTGTGTGTGTATATGGACTCAGCAGTCTGTGTGTCTGTCTGTGTGTATGGACTCAGCAGTCTGTGTGTGTGTGTGTGTATGGACTCAGCAGTCTGTGTGTCTGTGTTTGTGTATGGACTCAGCAGTCTGTGTGTGTATGGACTCAGCAATCTGTGTGTGTGTATTTGTGTGTGTGTGTGTGTGTGTATGGACTCAGCAGTCTGTGTGTGTGTGTGTGTGTGTGTGTGTGTATGGACTCAGCAGTCTGTGTGTGGACTCAGCAGTCTATGTGCGTGTATGGACTCAGCAGTCTGTGTGTGTATTGACTCAGCAGTCTGTGTCTGTGTGTGTGTGTGTGTGTGTGTATGGACTCAGCAGTCTGTGTGTGTGTATGGACTCAGTAGTCTGTGTGTGTGTATGGACTCAGCAGTCTGTGTGTGTGTATGGACTCAGTAGTCTGTGTGTGTGTATGGACTCAGCAGTCTGTGTGTCTGTGTGTGTATGTGTGGCGAAACCGACCTCACCACTGGGCATTGGAGAAGACTGATTGCCCGCCTCCTGCCATGTGACTATGGCCCCTGGGATGTATTGCCCTTTGAAGACATGATTTGGGCATAATGTATTTGTGTTGTGCTGCTGCTAGCCCTTTAAGAACCATCTAAGGACATACTGTGGAGTTACTGGGTGGCCACCATTTCATGTATCAGAGGCACATGGTGAGAACAATGGATGAAGCACATGGTGAGAACAATGGATGGCAGCCATTTTAACTCACAGACACTATGTGGACTTTTCAACACGGTGCCATCTCGCCGGTATTTGGTGCACAGAGACATCGTGCAGTGGTTTTGGACTATACAGCAGGGGACACATTATACAGTGATTGTTTTTCATTTAGCCTGTATATGTTCTGCGGAATCTGCATGAAACTGTATCTTCCAAACTACTGAACTGATCTGGGTGAATTTTGGATATGTAGTTCACCCAAATCCCCCGGTTCCGAGGATATACTTTTTTATGGGGTTATTGCATGTTTTGGGGTCCTTGTGATGTGTTTTATGATACTGTATTTCTCTGCCTGTCATAATTATATTAACCATTGTTCAATAATCATATCACAGGCAGAGGGGAGGATTTTGTGTGGGAGTGTCTGTGTGTATTGTAAGGATTGATTGGTTGTATTTCAAAACCCTGTGGGCAGTACTATCTTTGTGGATTGTGAATAAAATTGTGTGTCTGTGTGTGAATGGACTCAGCAGTCTGTGTGTGTGTGTGTGTGTCTGTGTGTGTGTATGGACTCAGCAGTCTGTGTGTGTGTGTGTCTGTGTGTGTGTATGGACTCAGCAGTCTGTGTGTTCATGTATAAATCAGCCTGTGTGCACATGTATAAATCAGCCTGTGTGCATTCAGCAATGCCTGTGTGCATTCAGAAATCTGTGTGTGTGTGTGTGTATTGAGCAGTCTCTCTGTGTTCGTATTTAGTGTACTGTGTGTATGTACTCAGCAGTCTATCAATAATTAAAATTTTTATTCCCGTGAGTTGTTGTGTAGGAAGGGCCCCAGTGCACTGCTTTGCCTGGGGGCCCATAACGCTGTTAAGATGGTACTGCTTGTGTGTGTCAGTGAGTTTCTATTTAGTGAACATGTGTGTGTCAGTGAACTTGTCTTTAGTGAGTTTGTGTGTGTCCCCGAACTTCTTTGTAGGGAGCCTTGTGTTTATACAAGTGAGTTTGTCTGTAGTAAGCTTGTGTGTGAGTCAGACAGTTTTGTCTGTCAGTGAGCCTATTTGCGCATGTCAGTGAGCTTGTGTGCTTACTGTACAATGTATATATATATATATATATATATATATATATGTCATATATGTATATACCTGTATATATATATATTGACTTGTAGGAATGGCATACATTTTTTTCCAGGGCTGCTTTGGATCCCCAGTTTGGCTCTGCCAGCGAGTGGACTCAGCAGTCTGTGTGTGTCTGTGTGTGTGTGTGTATGGACTCAGCAGTTTGCATGTGTGTGTATGGACTCAGTAGTTTGCATGTGTGTGTATGGACTCAGAAGTCTGTGTGTGTGTGTGTATGGACTCAGCAGTCTGTGTCTGTGTGTGTGTGGACTCAGCAGTCTGTGTGTGTGTCTGTGTGTGTATGGACTCAGCAGTGTATGTGTACGTGTATACATCAGCCTGTGTGCACATGTATAAATCAGCCTGTGTGCATTCAGCAACATCGGTGTGCATTCAGCAACGTCTGTGTGCATTTAGAAATCTGTGTCTGTGTGTAAGGACTCAGCAGTCTGTGTGTGTAAGGACTCAACAGTCTGTGTGTGTGTGTGTGTTTCTGTGTGTATGTATGGACTCAGCAGTCTGTGTGTGTGTGTGTATGGACTCAGCAGTCTGTGTGTGTCTGTGTGTGTCTGTGTGTGTGTATGGACTCAGCAGTCTATGTGTGTGTGTATGGACTCAGCAGTCTGTATTGTGTCTGTGTGTGTATGGACTCAGCAGTCTTTATGTGTGTATGGACACAGCAGTCTGTGTGTGTGTATGGATTCAACAGTCTGTGTGTGTGTGTCTGTGTGTGTCTGTGTGTGTGTGTGTAGCGGATGGCACTGGGCTGTCCTGCAAATGTCTTGTGAATAGCTGCATTCGGGTAAACTGCTGGTTTTATATGTGTTTAAAAGAATTGTATTCCTCTGATTGTTCGGTAGAATCATTCGAATAAACTAAAGGAATGAAACTACCGAACAATCAGACCTCCCCTGTGTGAAGTGTGTCCTCAATTACCCGTTGCAACATTGTTGCGAACGGGTAATTG